CCAAAAATCCCAACCCCAGTTTCGGATTTTTGGAAACTCGGGGAATTTTGGATTTTTTTGGATTTTGAGCAAATTCCTCGAGTTTCCAAAAATCCGAAACTGGGGTTGGGATTTTTGGATTTTTGGATTTTTGGAAACTCGAGGAATTTTGGGTTTTTTGGATTTTGAGCAAATTCCTCGAGTTTCCAAAAATCCGAAACTGGGGTTGGGAGTTTTGGATTTTTGGAATTTTGGAAACTCGAGGAATTTTGGGTTTTTTTGGATTTCGAGGCTCCCGCTCGAGTTTCCAAAAATCCGAAACTGGGGTTGGGATTTTTGGATTTTTGGATTTTTGGAAACTCGAGGAATTTTGGGTTTTTTTGGATTTTGAGCAAATTCCTCGAGTTTCCAAAAATCCGAAACTGGGGTTGGGATTTTTGGATTTTTGGATTTTTGGAAACTCGAGGAATTTTGGGTTTTTTTGGATTTTGAGCAAATTCCTCGAGTTTCCAAAAATCCGAAACTTGGGTTGGGATTTTTGGATTTTTGGATTTTTGGAAACTCGAGGAATTTTGGAGTGGTGCTCTTCCCCCCCCCCCCGCTTCCTGGACAGATCGGAAATACAATTCCGGGGTCTGTCGAGGGGGGGGGGGGGGTGACCATATATATATATATACATACCCTGTATATATATATATATACATATACCTCAGTGTGACCCCTAAATAAAGTCTCCTGCGCCGCCCGCTCGCGGAAGAGCTCGTCTTGCTGCATCATGAGCACCTGCTCTCACGCCCATGTTTCAGAAACCACAACTTGGTAGACCAGCAACCATAATATCATAACAAGGGCACCCTTTTTGGGGGGTTGGTTACTTTATAAGGGAGCCCAGAACCAAAAAAAAAAGCAAAGGGTGCCACTGGGCTACCAAGCCAAGGCCGGGTTTAGGGTTTAGGGTTTAGGGTTTAGGGTTTAGGGTTTAGGGTTTAGGGTTAGGGTTTAGGGTTTAGGGTTTAGGGTTTAGGGTTCACCGGCTCCCTTAGAGTCCCGCCTCAGTCCGAGGAAGTCCTGAAGGTGGTTCAAGGGTTTGCAGCGGCCCAAACTATCCCCAACTACGCCCCTCAACTTGTCCGTTAACCCCAAACCCTAAACCCTAAACCCTAAACCCTAAACCCTCGAAACCCTGAACCCGAACAGGTTCTTGAGAGAGCCCGGCCCTGGTCCGCCTATCGCGTTGGGCTCCAGGATCTTCTTTGTTTGCTCTTTTGGAGGCTTTAGGGTTTAGGGTTTAGGGTTCTTGCGTTTCAAGGGTTTTAGGGTTTAGGAGTTTAGGGTTCAGGGTGTAGAGGAATTAGAGGTTTAGGGTTTCGGGGTATTCTTGGCCACCGGGCCGGCAGGGGGCTCCCTGCAGGGCTTTCAAAGCAGTTCCACATCAGACAATTCCTTGAACCTGCCCTGCAGTCTCCGCCTGGGAGTTGTCGAGATACGGCCTACGGCTGAGAACTTTAGAGCTTGCAGGGTCTTTGGGGCTTACGGGCCTTTAGAGCTTCTGGGGTCCACAGGACTTCGCGGCCTTGGGGGCTTACAGGGGTAGGGCTTTCAGAATAGCTTTGCAGAAGGTTTAGGGGTGGCCATGCGCCAGTAGGCGTGCTAGGGCCTACATTTCAGTCGAACTGCTTGAAGCACTGTGCAGGCTGGTTCTCTTCATGTGCCTGTGTAGCAGAGCGAACCAAGAGGGCGCAATTCCAAGCTCCCTGCAAGCTCTGTTGCACTGGATCGGAGGAGCGCGTCAGGAGGTGATACCGCCTGCTTGGAGGTTCAGGGCTCTTTCAAGCCAACTTGAGAAGAAAAGGCCCCCCCCCCCCCAAGCTTCCTGAGAAAATTCAAGCTGGGCTTTTTGTCGTACTTCTATTCAATTGGACCACAGACCCTTTAAGTGGACACTTGCGGCGTGAGGCTTATAGGGCTTACGTCGGGTACTAACCCACATACCCCTTAAGTAGAAGGACACGGCAGGTGACAACGCGCATGGAGATTAGGGCTCCGGTGATTTAGGGCTTCCTTGGCTTGTCAAGTCTAGCTAACTAACGGTCCTTACTTGTAGTTGATAGGGTTAAAAGTGCCCTCTTGGGGTTATACATAGGTATGGCTACAGTTATCCTGCCAAGTCCTACTTAGAGCTGCCTATGAAGTTTTAAGAAGGGTTTTGGGCTGCTTGCTGCCTTTCTTCTCATCGAGCAGAAACCCAATTTCTTGGGTTTTGCTTTCCCGTTTCTCGGACCTATGGCAGCAAGATAAGGGGTCCTCTTCATGCGGAAGGAGGTTTGGAAAGCACCCTGAAAGAACGGCTTTTACACAGCATCCTGCGCCGAAAACAGCCCACGTAAACCCTCTGCAACCCTAAATCCTAAACCCTAAACCCAAAATCTGAGTGACAAAGCAAGCGAGTTCAGGTCGGCGACCCTGCGTTTGGCCATTTATCCCAAAACCCTGTTAGCCTGGGAATCATCTGCACCCCGTCGCCCGTGTGGACGCCGAAGCCTGCAGTGGAATTCGGGCCAGGGTTTGGGACGCTGGCAAACCTTAAACGACGCGTTCAGGGCAGGGTGGTGGGCCTAGGATGTTTTGATCTAAGTTTAGGGTTCAGGTTTAGATTTTCTGGCTGCCAAACTCCGCTGGCTAAGACCAACCTCCCCATAACATTCGCAACAAACCCCGGCGATCTTGTATGAGCTTTGCAAGGACTCATTCATACATCCTGGCGAAGAGCTGAATTTCGGGCTCCAAAATGATGCAGTTCACCAGAAGTTTAACAGTACATGGGTAGTTTCTCTAAATTAGGGTCCCTTGTTGGGGTCCTGCATAAAACAAAAACAAGAAAAAAAAAGGTATATACATATAAATATAAATATAAAGATAAATAGAAATAGAAATATAAACAGAAATATACATATAAATATACATATGAATATACATATAAATACAAATACAAATACAAATATAAATATAAATATAAATATAAATATAATATTAGATATATATGTACATATAGCACGGCTTCCTGAACAAACACCGTCAAAGCGGGAGTGGGCTCATAAGAACCAGGCAGGGTCGCAGACGTCTCTCCATCATCACCTGGCTTGTCTCCGATCTCGAATGGGTTTAGGGTTCAGGGTCTCGTTTGAGTCAGGGTCCCAGGCCTCAACTATCTACCCCTTTCCAAGCAAGCTGGCTGCGGCTCAGTGCAGGATTGATGCGGGATACCTGTAACCTCACATATGGGTATTTCCCCAATAGTTACAGGAACCCCGAAACGGCTACCCCTGTTTTCGGAACCTCACATATAAGTACTTCTGAACCTCCAAGCGTCATTGGGTTTAGGGTCGGTTTAGGGTTTACATTCTCTTTGGGGCACAACCCCAAACGCCGAGGCTTCGCCAAGGAATCCTCCGGATGTTGTGCCTGTCTAAAACCTTTCTGGGTCACACCACACATGGTATTTTCCTGAAGAATAAATTCAAACATATATGTACATGTAGAGAGTGAAAGGCCCATGATTTAGACCCCCCCCCCTTTGGCCGAAGACATGGCACATCATCGGACCTCGAAAGATACGGCGGGCTGGTTCCGGAAGCCAGAGGTCACTTTCTCCTGCGACTCTCTGCAGCTTCTCAACCCGCTTGCTGGGCATTGCTACGCATAAGGGAGCCCCAAAAATAGAGGCCCCTAAAAGTAGGATCCCCTTATAATAAGGACTGTTAAGAGATGGAAGGGCTCCAAGCTCCACAGAGAGTGGAGCGTGAAGACTGTTGCCTTATGCGGGCTTAGGGTTGGGGCCTTTGTCCGGGGGTTGCTCGGTCTGGATTTCGGAAGAAGCTAGGATGAAGATTGAAAAGGGATGAAAAGGGCATGTGCGGTGGAGGTCAGCTGAAGGCTCCCCAAGACACCCCAAAAAAAAAGAATCGGACAAGCAACAGCCCTATACACGCACGAACCCCTCATCAAAGCCCAACCCCCCACAGGCTGTTGTGGCACACCCCTGGGTTTTTCAGCCTGCTATCGTGCAAATTTAGCCCTGTCTAAGCTCCTTTGTGCCGGTGATTTCCATGGTGCTGTTTCGGGAGAAGGCTCCAAACAGGGCCAGGACTCGTGCATTGCCAGGGGGGCCCATCCCCATAAACCCTGTGCGAACCCTTTTTTGAACCCAGACTCCCTAAACCCCGGGTATAGGGTTTAGGGTTTCGGGTTTAGGGTTTAGGGTTACCCTAAACCCTGAAGCCCTCGAAACCATGAAACCCCTGGCAGCCCAGCGCCGCCTGCTTTGGCTGTGCGCCGCCCTGGATCGGCACCTGGTGGTGATTGGAGGTGTTCCCCCTTATACTAACAGTCCTTCATAGGGATTCTAGTACATCCCATGCTTGGGGTTTGGGGTTTAGGGTTTTGCCTTTAAGCGCTCACAACGCTGCAGGCTTACGCGAAGTCGTGCCAGTAAGGAAGATGCTCCGGAACCCTCTCCAAATGCTGGCTGATCTGCCGTATCGGCACGTTTTTGACACTCCAACCTACAAGGTAACAGAACGTGCGAATGCACACGAAAAGAAAAGATCAGAGAGACCAGAAACAGGACCCTGAAGTTGGATCCATGCCCCACCGAGTGGTCGAGCTGCCCCTTGCCCTTGCTTTTTTCTTCTCGGCGTCGAAGTGACATAGCGCAGCGAGTGGCGATCCCCTCCTGCCTAGGAACCCCTGTTGAGCCTCCGCGTTTGCGGGCTGCTTGCAGCGACCCCGGGCCAGTGCCCGACTCTGGACTGTCTGTGAATCTACGGACATCAGGTAAACCTAAGGAGTAGACAGGGCACCTAAAGTGTGCGCAGTGGCTATTTCATATTTTGAGAAGTGCCTAGAACACCACCCCCCCCTTCACCCCTCCCGAAAACATGTGAAGATGAGGACTCTGATGGCTTCCTAGTAAGCCAGTACACTCAGCACACCACGAAAGGCACTCCACAGCGCAGCCCGACTCAGTCCACCTCAATCGACACTGGCTGCGACCTGTTGGCATCCTCAGGACCATCTGCATCCTCGGTTGGCACTGAAAAAACTATGGTTTAGGGTTTAGGGTTTAGGGATGCAAAACCCAGTTCCTATTTCAGGATCCTCACCAAAAACAGAAACCCACATCTAAGAGGAAAGACTTTCTCAGCCTCCCCCGAGGCCGAGCCGAGCAGCCCCTTCCTCTTGCGCGGGCTTCGCGAAGCAAAGCCGAAGCTGCCGGGGGTCGTCCTTGACGCCGCTCGAGGAAGCTGGCGGAACAGCATCGGGCGCCGGGGCATCGGCCGGCTCTGCAGGCGCCTCATTCCTTGCTGTTGGCTATATATATATATATATGTATATATATATGTAAATATACATATATATATGTCCTTTAAGGGATGATGATATAGGGTTTACCCGTTAAGGGATTATTTAGGGTACCTCATTCCCCCATTCCCCCGCTAACCAACGGTAAGAGTCATGGGCTGCATGGACTTGGAGAAGGTGCCCTTGGAGCCCACGTTCTCAGCACCGATTTTGGAGGCCTGCCCATCAACCATGACGCCCACGTCATGCTGCTTTCGCCTTACTGTTGGTTTGCAGGGAATGAGGGAATGAGGCACCCTATATAACCCCTTAAAGGCGTTACTTAAAGGGTACAAAATAGGGGGATATAGGGTACCCCATTCCCACATTCCCTACTAGCTACTAACCAACAGAAAGTCGCTCCAGCATATGATAGAGCGTGTCATCCAGCGTGTCTTTGGCGATGAGGTAGTGAACATTGACGGACTCCTGCTGGCCCATCCGATGGGCTCGGTCTTCGGCCTGAAGCAATGTCCCTGGCGTCCAATGCAACCTTGGCAGACCAGTAACCATATTACAATAAGGTACAATAAGGGCACCCTTTTTGTGTTGGACACTTTAGAAGGGAACCCAGAACCAAAAAAAAAGAGTAAAGGGCACCGCTGGGCTACCAAGCAACTCGGCGAAGACCACCGTGGAGCAGACCTGGAGGTTGAGCCCCTGCCCGCAAGCGGTGATGGAGAGCAAGGCCACTTGCTTCGACGGATTCGATCGGAAGTCATTCACGAGCTGCTCGCGCTGCTGCGAGGGCGTCTTGCCGTCGATGCGGATGAATCCCGCCTTCAGCTTCTCGAGCTTCTGCTGCAGTCTGTCCATGACTTCTTGGTGGTGCGCGAAGAGCAAGAACCGACACTCTGCCTCCACCAAGTACTGGACATACTCTGCGACAGCGTCCACTTTGGCGAGGCCCGTGAGCCTGAAAAGCTCCGTTGCGCAGCTTCGTTGGCCGCCGCCACCGCCGCCACCGCCGCCCTCGAGATCTCCTTTCCCATCCTTGTGGAACTCACTCAACTTCTCCTTCAGCTCTTTTAGCACACCCTGCTCATTGCTCAGCTTTTCCAACACCACACGCTGCCGTCGCTTCGGAGGGAGCTGGCTGAGCACGTCCTTCTTGAAGCGCCGGATCATGACTGTCTCCAGAAGGGCAAAAAGCTCATCTCCCAATCGACAGCCTTCCCATTGTTTCAGCTGCCGCCGCCCAATCCTCAGCGTCTTCTCATTGCAATACCTTTCGCAGAACTTGTTGTGCGTCGGAGGCAGCAACCCCGGCAACAAGCAGTCCAATAGCGAGTAGAGCTCTGAGGCTTTCGCCAGGGCAGGTGTGCCCGTGAGGAGGGCACACCGCCGTGTCTGCTGGAGGATCGGGCGGAGCGCCTGTGAACGCTGAGACGATGGCGTTTTAAGGAAATGGGCCTCATCACAAATAACCATGCGGTACTTCTTGCCATGGGCAGATTGCTGAAACACTTCCTGCTGCGCAATCAAGTCGTAGCTGACGATCACCACGCGCGCATCGCGTCGCAGCTTGTCTGCGCCCTTCTGCACCACTTGGATGTGACCTGGAACTTCTAATGTTATCTTTATGCGCCCCGCGCCCGAATGACACGTCAATCTGACCTCCCTTTCTAAACCCAGCTGGTGGACATCATAAAGGCCTCAACCACTTGTTGAGGGAAACCTCTCCGGGGAAAGGTTCTGATTCCTGATCGCCTAATCAACATGCATTCCAGGCATCACGAGGGGAAAAACTACAGCCTGGGTGCAACTCTAGGTATCATTGCAGGGCCTGCCCTGTAGGGTACATTCGGGCAGCCGCAGGATACAGGACGTCTACGTATGAGTTTGAGAGAAGCACTGCGAATGGGGCGAGAGGAACCTTAGGGTTTAGGGCTAGACCACCAACCCAAAAGAGCGGGTTTCAGGTTCATGTTGCTTTTTTGGCCAGGTACACCCTTAAACCGAAAGAGTTATGGCTTATGCTCCGCGTCAGAGCTAACACCTAGCCAAACCTCTATAGCCCTAAAACCCACACACACACACACACACACACACACACGTCCACACAGAGACACGCGCACACACTTTTTCACTCAATGTCCACGAGTCTGCACCTTCGCAGCACTTGCGAGATTTCCGGCTTGTTGACTGGCAAGTTGGCTAGGGCAACCTAACCCTAACCCTAAACCCACATGACGTTCTTTCAAAGGGCCCGAACCATGTCTCGATCAGGTAAGAACGGAGGGGAATAGGATTTCGGATTGCAGCCGAGAAACGATCTGGATTTGCGACCACCGATGCTGGCAGCCAACGAGAAGCCTCTTCACGCCAGTTGCCCCGCAAAGAGGATGGGCAGACCACGAGTAGCGGGAAGTCGTTCACAAACTGAGCGCACAATGTGAGGGCCTGCGCCGTCTTCCCGAGACCCATCTCGTCCGCCAACAGCACACGGCCCCCGCGGCAAAGAGCAAAGTTCACTGCCTCTCGCTGGTAGGGGAGCACCTCGTTCCCTTCTCGACTCGCCGCGTTCTCCGGCAGGACTTTCCCTGTCACATCCGCGAGCAAAACGTGTGCCACCTTCTTGCAGATGTGAACTTTCCCAAAGCTGCGGAAGCTGGGCACAGTCGCCAGCACCCACTGGGGTGGCAGCTGCACCTTGCCAGGCCCACATAAATCCAACAGCCGCTGCACGACCTTGGAGTACGCGGACGCGTCAAATTGGACCTTCTTTGTGGCGGTCCTTGCGCCGGGCCACTGCCGCAAGGCGGAATAGACCTTTGCGGGAAGCCTCTTCGATGCGTGAAGCACGAAGCCCTCACGTCCCAGAAGCTCGATCTCAAAGTTGCCATCAAAGCTTTTCACGTGGTCATCAGAAACAAGACGTCCTTGCCAAGTGCCCCCTGGACTTGGACTACCTTGTGACATGTGGGCTGGCGATGGTTGTTGTTGCTGTGCCGTGGTCCGCAGTGCCGCGGGCGGTACCGCGGTCGGTGCCGCGGGCGGTGGGGCAGGGTGTTGCCACTGGGGTGGCACTGGCTGAACTTGCTGCGGATGCAGGGTCTGGTAGTGCGGCTGCGCCTGCTGCGGCAAGGCGTGGGCACTGCACTGCTGCGCCGGCTGTGGCAAGTGTTGCGGTTGCTGCATCGGCTGCGGCTGCAGGTGTTGCGGTGGCGGCAGTTGCTGGTGCCACTGGGGCTGGGAATTCACATGGGGCGCCATGTAGCCCGTCAGGTGCTGCGCTGGAGCTTGGGCCTGATGAAACTGCACAGATTGGAAATTGGCGGGTTCCATTAGGTGACTTTGCGGGGGCCATCCGGGAGCCACGCCGGGAGCCATGCTGGGACCCGCGCCGGCTTGCTGTGGGGCGGCTGGGCCTGCTGGATGAGCCCCTGGTCGGAAGTATTGTGAGCCACGCACTGGGGAGGGTTGCGGCTGAAAAGTGAACACGTCCAAAGCCGCTGAGAGCCCGCCCCCAAGAGGAGGATGGCCCGGTGGGTCTGGGCCCGGGCCTACCAGACGGGCTGCCCCCATGGAAACCTTCTGCTTCTTCTGCGCCGGGCCGACGTCAGCGGCGCTCGCGGCCGATCTGCGCTGCAGCCATCCTGAGGCTTGAGCGGCATCTTCCATGCCCGCTACACGGCTGGGCGTCTTGGGCCACGGATCATCCCGCTCCCCAAGCGCCGAACTAGGAAACTGCGGGGGGGGGCTTAGGGGGGCCTTATAGATGTAGGATACCATGATCAATTTGGCGATTTGCTCTGAAAGTTGGTTTAAGTATCCAGATTGCCCATCTATAGAGGGCTCCAGGGGCATGGTGTGTAAGCTAGAAGTCTAGAAGTGCGAAAGCCACTTGATGTCTAACCCTTGAGCCATGGACTGCCGCAGTCTGGGGTTGTAGTGCGAGGTCTTGGGGTGTAGGAGTTCGGGCAACGGTGTTTTGGGCGGAGCCGTTTTTGAGGATGTCTGTGGGATGGCGGGCCCAAGCACACACATCGGCCTCGCCATATAGCGAAACACGCAGACGTTGTTGCCTACTTAGTGGCTACACTTGGGATTCAGGGCTGCCAAGTGTCGCCAACAGTTTAGTAGTAGCTGCTCCTTTGTTAGTTGGTAGAACCCAGAAAACTGTAGCAAGGGTCCCAGTGAAGCCCATAAGCCGAAGCCCGCGAACCTCGAAGCCCCAACATCGCCCCCTAAACCCTAAACATCCCTAAACCCTAAACCCTAAACCCTAAACCCCCTGCAGGACCTCCTCCGCCAGGAGGTTGCCACTAATGGCCTCGGAGCTGGCCATGCCCCCCAAACCCTAAACCCTACACTCTAAACCCTACACCCAAACCGGACTGAAACCCTAAACCCTACACGCTAAACCCTACACCCTTTGAAACCGGACTGAAGCCCTCAACCCTAAGCCCTAAACCCTACACCGCCGACTGCAGGGTTCATGACAAGGGTGATTTTTCAGCAGAGCTCTGACACAAAGTAGCCAGGCAGAACCGTGCAATACGATAGTTCATGGAGTTCTGAGTAGGATAACCGCTTCTCCAAGAGATGTCTCCTTTTGGGGCCTGGGCTGGGAAGCCAACATCTCGCCTTTTGCGAGCTTCATTTTTTGATCTGGCCACTCGGTATTCAGCTTCCCCATGCATTGCATTTATGACCAGCCACCCAAACTGTCGAAAAAACTGCAGCAATGGTTGTCATTCACGTACCTTATTCGGGGGCGAGGGTGGTCGGAACAAATACTAACAGTATTTATTACCTTATGGTCCCTTTACAATTGTACTATAATCACCCCCAAAACCCTATTCTAATTGTTAAGGCCCCTATATTACGCCCTAAACCATGTGATGGGGCCCGGGGCCGTGGTCAGGTCGGCGTGAGCTCGCCCGATGAACCAGTCTTCATCGGATGCGCCCGCCTGCGACTACAAGGACTTCAGGGTTTAGGGTTCCTAAGCCCTAAACACTTTTTTAAACCCCTAAACCCTAAACCCGAGACACCAGCGCGTCTGCTTTGTGCTGCGAGGTCTGTGGGTGGATGTCGGAGGCTGCTGGACAAGGACGGAAAGCGGTGTTTCGACGCTCGCACTCGCACACGCAGGCCAGGATTCATCTCACAGCAGGGGGTCCGACCCTTCGCGGTGCTTAGGGTTTAGGGATTAGGGCTGGGGGCTTCTGGCAAAAGAAGCTAGGGGAACTTCAGGACCTCCTCCACATCGTGGAGGGGGCAGGCGCAATATTGCAAGCACTGCACGGAGAAACGGATACCCCACTGGTACCAAATGAACAAACACACACACACACACACCCCTTCGTGGCAAGGTGCGCGCCGTATGACGGCAGGGCCCCCGAACATGGATGGCGCCCAAAACAAGGGAGAGTTGCAAGTACCGGAAAAGGAAATCTTTCTCGGCCAGGCGCAGGAACATAGCACAGCAGAACGTGTGCGGCATCCGAGAAAGGATCTGAACAAGGCCCGCCAAAGGCCTGTGCTCCTTTGCAACGCCTTCCCCACCCCCACCCACATGGGTACCGACCACACCCAAACCTGGATAAGCCTTGCAGCTGCTAGATATACCCTGCCATCAGTTAGGGTTTAGGGTTTAGGGTTTAGGGTGTGTCAGGGGAGGGCGCGCGCTCGGGTGTGAAACGCCCCGGGCCGCGCGCTCACGTTGCCCGTCAACCCACCCCGGCCACCCAAACTATACTCTATTAGGGTTTAGGGTTTATGGAATTTATTTTCTTGTGCTCTGATGCTTGCTTTGATGTTTTTAAAGTTGCGCTGTTAGGGTTTAAGCTGGGGTCGGGGGTAGCCTCGGCCCTTTTTGGGCCTTCGGCGTGTCAGGGCCCGTAGAGGCCCTTATTTATTTGAAGGTCAGGGAAACCCTTTGTGCCTGCTCCTGGATTCCCCTTCTTTAAGGGCCTCAAGCCTTTTGGTGGCTCTTGGGGCCTTTTTGGGGGCTTCCTGGGGGCTTTCCTGGCCCTTCCGGGGCAAAATGAAGGAAAAAACCATCGATTTCAGTACCAAAAAGAAGCATTTTTCATTGCGGGTGCGGGCATCCTGGGGTCCCCCTTCTTTTAGGGGGCCTTTGGAAGCCTTTTGGTGGCTCTTTGGGTTCTTCGGGGCCTTGTTCGGACCTTCGGCGTGTCAGGGGCCGTAGAGGCTTTATTCATTTGAAGGTCAGGGAACCTATGAGTTTTTTTTGCCAATGAGCATTTCAATCGCTAGGGTTTAAAGCTGGGGTTCGGGGTAGCCTCGGCCCTTGTCGGGCCTTCGGCACGTTAGGGCCCGTAGAGGCCCTTATTTGCTTGAAGGCCTTCGCAGGGTTTTGCGGTGTTAGGGTTTAAGCTGGGGTTCGGGGTAGCCTCGGCCCTTTTGCCCAAAACCATCGATTTCAGTACTACAAAATAACATTTTCATTGCGGGCAGGGGTGCCTAAAACCATCGTTTTCAATATTCAAAAATCGCATTTTTCATTGTGGGCACGGACAAATCTTGTGGTCCCCCCCTTCTTTTAGGGGGCCTTTTGAAGCTTTTGGAGCCTTTTGGTGGCTCTTGGCGCCTCTTGGCGGCTTTCCTGGCGCTTCTGGTGTAAAATGGAGGGGTGCGCAAAACCATCGATTCCAGTATAAAAAAAACATTTTTCATTGATGGTACGGCCCTCTTCGCCCGGCAACCCTTTGGTGCGGGGGCCTTCCTCTAGCCCTGAACCCGGGCCCTTCCGGCCCTGATCCCCGCCCCTCTTGGCAGGGTTCTTGACCCTTCGTCGGGGGTTCTTGTGGTTTGGGGGCCCTTGGGTGCCGGTCTTGGCCAAAAGCCCTTGGGTCGGGGGCTCTTGGTTTGGGGGGTTCTTTCCCGGGCCCTTGGCCTTGGCCCGGCGGCCCTTGGCCCGGGCACGCTTGGGTCCCGCCCTCAGCAGGCGGCATTTTGGAGGAGGCTGTTGGCCAGGCCCGGGGGGCCCTTGGTCCGGGAACCCTTGGTGGGCGGGCCCTTGACCCGGGACCTTGGCCCGGGGGCCCTTGGCCGGGGGGGGGTGGCCCGGGAAGGGGGCGTGAAAAAACTGTTTGGACCCACCACGAAATTGAGCAACCAGGCTGTCTGGACCCTCGCCAGCCTCCTGGTCCAGGAATCCAGCCACCAGGGGCCAGGGGGCCCCCGGAAAGGGGGCCCGGCAAACCCTGAACCCAAAACCCTGAACCACCTGTACAGGCAAAGGGTTACGATTTGGGGTTATACTTTAGCTACGCTAAAGGTGGTCATCCCTTAGCCGAGTACTGACGTTGTCGTAAGAAAGGCCGATGTCCGTTGGCCTGTCCAGGACAGACGGTGAGGCTTAACCCTCACCTTTCCGTTTCTCTTTTTTCGATTGGACCCTCGGGCTGTAAGGCCCTCGGCCGAGCGTTCGGGGTCTGTCGCTCGACGGAAGCGACCCCTCACTTAGTTTAGGGTTTAGGGTTTAGGGTTTAGGGTTTAGGGTTTAGGGTTTAGGGTTTAGGGTTTAGGGTTTAGGGTTTAGGGTTTAGGGTTTAGGGTTTAGGGTTTAGGGTTTTAGGGCCGCGCAGCCTCGGAGTCGTCAGATGCCGCTGCGCCTCGGGAGCCCCCAATTTGGGTACTTCTCTAAATTCGAGTCCCCTGTTTGGGTTCCCTTTTTTAGTGCAGAACCCACCCACAGGGACCGCACCTTAGAGAACTAATTAATGTTGTATACTGATTAGTGTGCTCCCCCGGAATTGTGGAAACAAAATCCGAAAATTAATCAGGGGGATCTATTTGAGGAGGACCCCCGGAATTGTGAAAAATGGCGTCGTTGTCTAGAAATCGCTTCTGAACTGAGCCTGAGAGACCAAAGATCTGAGCCTGAGCAAAGGTTTCAAGCCTGAATCCCAGTCTGAGACGAAAGATCTGCTTCTGAGCTCCTTCTGGGCCTTCTGAGTCCTCCACCCCCCCATTGCCCCCCCTACCCCCCCCCCCACACTAAAGAGCGGGATCCATTCGTTGAGGGGGGGGGGGGGTCACACTAATCAGGGGACAACATTATTCAACTTTTGAAAAATGCGTCCCGTTTCTTGGAACGGTTGGGCGCGCAGTTTGGGGCTTCAGCTTCAGCTGTGTCAGGAGACTCGGACAGGGTGTGGGGCTTAGCTTCGGCAGAGCTGCTCGCATTGTAGCGTGAATTGGTCGGGGATCTGCTTCTCTCCCCTCCCTCCCCCTCTCCCCCATCTAGAAAATTAGAACATGCTGCAGCAGCAACCTGCGCGCACTTCGAACAAGAGATGAAGGTTCGCCGCACCATTTTAAGCCCCGGAACCCAGCGAACACTGCCCCTTCCATCCCAGCACTGTTGCAGAAGGACTTGGACCCTGATTTAACCTTTTTGCATCCGGGCTGGGGGGCGGATCAAACTTTCTTTTAACCAAAAAATCCCCTTCGAAGCCTCCCAGAAACCCATGGCCACGGCCGTCTCACAGGGTTTCGGCGGCTTGTGGATTTTGGGGCTTAGACGTGTGGTATGGGGCTTGCAAGGCTTAGGTTGAAGATGCACAGTTGCAAAACAGCAGCGTTCTTATTTTCATCAGGCTTTTAAGCTTGAGGGTTCTCTTCTATCAAGGGCTTCTGTCACATGG